AGAGAGGATTCCAAGATCTGATGGAAGTTGGAGCACAAACCAGAATGGGTTTTAACAACTTAAACAGCTTTCTGATCCAACACTTGGTCCTCTGAAGTCCTGTTATTTGATCAAGTATGTGTTTTTCTGGTCCTAGAAAAATCCAGACTTGAAAAACTTACCCTTTTGGAGGTCCCTCAAACATTTGCTCCGATTAAGGACAGATAGTAAGAACTTTCAGAGTGTTTTCATGTCTGAGGATGTTAGTCCATTTGAAGCTAACTCTGGTTTGGTATCCATCTAGAAGCAGCTTGTTAGAGAAGATGAGAACACACCGATAACTCTAGAGTGTGGACGAGAACAGCTTACTGTTTATGGCATAAATATGATCTGTCCTTATTTTGACAAACCTACACATGAAGGCTGCAGGCTTGGGCCAAACAGCTTCCTGATGCCAACTTTGCATTGCATTCTGGGATCCAGCAGATTAAACCAACATAGGCTTTTGCTTAAAACATAAACTGATATGCAAATTAAGTTTGCCTGAAATAGCACCAATAAAACACATTGTAATTGGATTAAATTTCCTTTTGCTGGGACTATGACATCTGCTTCCTGTAATACTTTTGGATCTTCAGGCCCACACATATCTGACATGTAAACAGAATAAACGTAGTAAAAGCTTTTGGTTGGCTTGGAATTTTCTCTATGGGAAAAGAAACTGAGCCACTAGAACGAAAATACACATAAACAAACTCTTCAGCAAATTTGGACAAAAAATAAACAAACTCAAGGCGTAAAAATGCCCTAAATCCTGCACAGGATGCTTTTGTTTGCATTTTAGAAAAAAGAGGAAGATTTTGTCAAGTCACAGTAAAACTTAATCATCCTTTTGTTATTCGCATAGTCATTTGTCTTTTTGGTTAATTAGTGATTAAGACACACATGTCATTTTTACTATAAAAAAATGAATTTATCAGGGAACATTTACAGTTGTCCTGTTTCCAACTGAAGTGCAAAGTTGTGGATTGAATAACCAGTGTTGTATAAAGTACTGAAATCTCAAAGTCAAGTAAAAGTATAAGTACCTCTCCAAAATATGACTTTGGTAAAAGTCCAAGTCACTGACTGAAATTTTACTTTAGTAAAAGTCTTAAAGTATCTGAAATGGCTTGTACTTAAGTACTATAAGAATTACTGTAAAAATAGATGTACTCAAGTAATGTAGTGAAAAGTATACAGTAAGTAAAAAGTAAGTGCAGTTTGAATGACTTTTTTTTTTTAACATTTTGGTAAACTTTGAAGGTTCACTTAAAATAATATACACAACCAAGTGTAGGATAAATTTAGACTGGCTTTGCGAAAAAGACGTATCCTATTGGTGTTGATGAACAAGCCCAGGCAAGACCCGACTTTGTAGTCAGTAGGGGTCAAAACACTTGCGTTTCTCTTGCTCGCTTTTTTTTTTTTACTTGGTAACTAAACCAAACACTGAAAATGTATCGGAGTAAAAGTATGCAATTAATTTTGTAAAAGTAGTGAAGTAAAATGTATACTCTTGGAAAGTAAAAAGTACTCCAAAATATACTTAAGTACAGTAGTTAAGTATTTTTACTTTGTTACTATACAACACTGGAAATAACAACTATTTTATAATAGATTAATTTAATTCCTTTGTGTAAATCACACAATTAGTGCAACTAAGTTATGAAGTCAAATATGTCAACCTTAAGAATGATTATTTATTAATATCAGGCTAATGAGAAAACTATATTTTGTTTAGTGATATTTTTTTTACACATACATATGATTACATTTTTTTTCCTTGATTGCTACACCTTATGCCCCCTCTAGCAGCATTTCTTAAAATCTAAATGCACACAACCACTTTGCACCATTCCCTCATGGTTCCCCCTGCAGGTGGTGGGCCCACTGGGGGATGGCCTCGCGTCGCTCCTTCGGGCTGGGCCCGGCCGGGTCCCGCGAGGAAGAACCTGACCACCAGGCGCTCGCCAACGAACCCCAACCCCAGGCCTGGCTCCAGGGTGGGGTCCCGGCTCCGCCGTACCGGGCGACGTCACTTGCCTCGTTGTTGTGCTCATCATAAGGGTTTTTGAACTGCTCTTCGTCTGACCTGTCACCCAGAGCCTGTTTGCCTTGGGAGACCCTACCAGGGGCATTTAGCCCCCGACAACATAGCCTCTGGGATCACCCAGGCACTGAAACCCCTCCACCACGTTAAGGTGGCGGTTCAAGAAGGCGGTTGGAGGAGAGTCCCTGCTTCAAGTGGAGTCCTGTTCGCGAGTGAGGGAAGAATGGAGCGGGAGATCGACAGACGGATCGGTGCGGCTGCTGCAATAATGCGGACGCTGCACCGGTCTGTCGTGGTGAAGAGAGAGCTGAGCGAAAAGGCAAAGCTCTCAATTTACCGGTCGGTCTACGTTCCTACCCTCACCTATGGTCATGAAATTTGGATCATGACCGGAAGAACGAGATCCCGGATACAAGCGGCTGAAATGAGCTTTCTACGCAGGGTGGCTGGGCTCTCCCTTAGAGATAGGGTGAGGAGCTCGGTCATTCGGGAGAGGCTCAGTGTAGAGCCGGTTCTCCTCCACATCGAGAGGAGTCAGTTGAGGTGGCTCGGACATCTTCTTCGGATGCCGCCTGGACGCCTTCCTCGGTAGGCGTTCCAGGCACATCCCACCGGGAGGAGGCCCAGGGGACGACCCAGGACACGCTGGAGAGACTATGTCTCTCGGTTGGCCTGGGAGCGCCTAGGGCTTCCCCCAACAGAGCTGGAGGAGGTGTCAGCGGAGAGGGAAGTCTGGGAGTCTCTGCTTAGTCTGCTGCCCCGGCAACCCGGTTCCGGATAAAGCGGGAGACGACGAGTACGAGTATGAGTACTTATTTCTTTAAGTATTTATTTTTGTGCATGTTATAATATAATACTCCTGAATCTTCTCCAGATTGACTAAAAGGTTTCTGGTATTAATGGAGTGGTGCTGGCTTTATTCTAGAGTCCTGGGGTCTTGATTTTCATCAATGAGTTCTGCTGCCCTCACAACCTGTTGCAGTGTCTTCTTGTTTCTATGTTGACATTTTTCCAGCCTGGTATGAGATGTAGTTGTTCCAGGTGAGGTCAAAGATGTGGACACATTGGGACTTGTAGTCATCAGCTCTCTTAACCTCATTGAAATGAAGAGACAGGAGTTTTGTGCTCCAAGATTTCTTGAAATCCTTATTTACCTATTTTTCCTTTGAAATCTTGCTGTCCTTAAGATTTTTTTTAGCATCATATTGTCTAGATAACGTGCTTACCAAATTCTCGATTCAAAAAGCCATAAGTTTGAACAAGTCTCCAACTACCTGAAGCAGCTCTCCTAGAATAGTTTTATCTAGTAAAACTCTGATTAATACCAAAGCACAAATGGGAGGATTCAGTGGGGATATATCAACACTAAGGAGGCTGAACCTTGTCTGCAAATTTTGTANAAATGGGAGGATTCAGTGGGGATATATCAACACTAAGGAGGCTGAACCTTGTCTGCAAATTTTGTACAATTATTGGTAAAAAAAATTGATTGATAAACTTCATAAATGTACTCATTGAACAGCATTAAATATGCATTAAAACAGCCTGATTTTGTAAGTATGTTGTGCATGGAGCAGCAGAACGCTGGTCAGTCTCTAGGAGAAACGCATGATGAGTTTTGAGCCTCATTCTATTGCCGTAAGCAGGGGGAAAGTAGAGCCCTGATTGGGTAACACACCAGAATACGTCACTTCCAGTGAGGCTAAACCTTTTTGATGTTTCTACGGAGCAGGGCAGGCCAAGAAGCTGGCTGCTCGATTCTGATTGGCAAACATACTAAAAGATTTTCGACTGACTGTGGCCAGACAGAGTGACAATTTTCCTCATATCGAGATGGAAAAGTGATAACTTGAGTCAGAACAGTCTTTTTGTGCTGAACTCTTGCTGTGGTTTCTGGAGTTTATTATTCCAGAGTGCCTCACAACACCTATTTTCACCTGTTGCAGTTATGTGTTTTGAGATTTGTTAATACAATATGTTGACATTAAATTTAATTATCTTTAAATTTGATTAATTAATGTTTATTTAATTAACCCCATTAAGCCTCCCCTGTCCTCATTTGCCAACTAATTTTGATTTTACTCTTCTTAGCACCATTCTCTAACCACATATGTTATTATTAGCATTTTGTGGCATTATATTTGTATTTTTTTCTTGCTTTTTAGCAAAGCATTGCTTCTTAATATTATGATACAGAAAACTGTTATTTTATTGATTATTTTGGCAGAATCTCTAAATGTGCTGGGATGTATATATTAACACAAAGATTTGCATAGATAGTATACCTTATTTTTGCTTTTTAACATGCAATACCTTAGTTATAATCAAGTTTCCCAAGTACTGACATAACAGACATGTCAAAACACTGGTATAGCAGATGTTTAATATTCTCAGTTTGTATCATGAAAAACATTCAAAGAAAGAAACAAACATCCAGATCTTTGCTGCTTTGATCTTTCATTTTTAATGTTAGAAATCTTGATCATTCCAAACAATTATAGTAAAGTAAACAGATTTTCAAACTTGGAACTGGACCACAATTAAATACAATTGTCTCTCAGTCTCTGATCCATGCCATGGAGCAAGAACCACCAGTGGTGGTAACTAGATTAGATTTCAACTAGATTGCACTCTGTGGTGAATTCATTGGCTTAGAAAACCTTTAAGCAGAAAAGTCCCAATTGTTAAAACTCTCTCTAGTCTAAAAAAGCCACTCATATGTCTTTATGAAAAAAACAGATTAGATTTTAGGAAGCTTACATATGGATATCCCTGTGGTGTGTTCTGCTCTGTTCAGTTTGCATACATGTCCATTCTCAATAAAACATAAAAAAAAAAAACTAAAAAAAAAAAAAAAAACTAATGGCATCTGCCTGGTGGTTGCCAGGCAACGTATACACAAACCCAGGAGGAAGGACCTTGATTGTCTGAGACTTATACAAAAGTTCGATGCATACAGCTTTTCAACTGTAACCGAGCGGTGTTTTTTTTCTTTAGGACTGCTGGAAGAAGAATTTAGTGCAGACATGACGACTTCTCGTCTCCCGTTTCTGGACAGGGATCCTCATTCAAAACCACAGATGGAAACAAAAGTGAAAAAGGTCTTTGTTACTGAGCTGGATGACAACAGGTAGGCACGATCTGCTCACCCTGAGAAGGATAAAAAAAAAAAGAACAAAAACACTCTTATTAACATTTTATTTAGGGACAGGAAAAAAGAGGAGTACCACATACCTGCAGCTACAGAGGTAAGAATTAGTTGTTCTTGTTTTGACGTTTGCTTTAATTGTGCTTGTTGCATATTATTGAATACTTCAAAAGGTTTGGGTTAGAGCACCTCGTTTATTTCAAACGTCCCAGACTAGCAAACTCCTAGAGGGTGGAGTGAAAATGCTAAAAAAGACGCTGATTGCGAGAAAACAAGCCGAGCTGCATGATGTGGACGTCCAGCTTGCACTCAAGAGACAATATTTCAAAAGCTGCATGGAGGCTCTGGCTCATAAAAGGTCAGAGCTGGAAACAAAACAGCAGCAAGTGAGTTGAAATCTTCTGAAGTTACTGAAAAGAAATGCTAGAAAAAAACTGTGTTAGTGTGTTTGTTGGTTTTGGATTTTCTCTCAGGCTAAAGAGACAGAGATGAAATTCGAGAAGTTTGTGGCTGAGAATGAAGTGAAGCGACAAAGAGCAATGAAAGAGTGTAAGGCCATGAGGGAGCAGAATGCCCTGAAAAAGAGAGAGATAGAGGATTTGACAGAGCAGATGACAAAACTGGAAACCAGGTTAGGTTGTGAAACAGGTAGTTTACTGTGAGAGAAGGTTCTCCTTTGTTAAGCCTATCTTAATTTTACAGGCGGAAAGTTTTAAAGCAGAAAACTGAAAAATACAGAATCTACGAGGACTTTTTGTTGAAAACCCTAGATCGTCTCCCCAGCAGTAAGTCAACATCTCATTATAAACACCTGAAACCACATAATCCCATGCATCCTATATATTATAAATAAATGTAATCTCACATTTAAATTGCACAAAACTTTCACTGTTTTTGGTCTGTTGGATTAAAAAAATAATTTATTTAACATAGAATAAATATCACCTGGTTAATTAACAACATTTGAGCTAAATTAAGGTCTACCTAACATGTCAAATGCACTTCCTGTGTTATTATAGAAACAAAATCAGCCAGAAAAATTCCAAAAAAAACTATAGTGGCACAATGAGCATGGGGACATTTGATACTCTATATTGGCCCAAAAATTGTGCAGATTTTGGAAAGAAATGTAAGGGCTGCACGGTGGCACAGCTTGTAGCACTGCTGCCTTGCAGCAATAAGGTCTTGGGTTTGATTCCTGGCCCAGGATCTCTCTGCATGGAGTTTTCATGTTCTCCCTGTGCATTTGTGGGCTCTTTCCAGGTAGTCTGGCCTCCTCCCACAATCCAAAAACAAGAATAGCAGGATAATTGTCACCTCTAATTTGTCCTTAGGTTTGAATGTGTGTGCAAGGTTGTATGGCTCTGTGTTGTCCTGGGATGGACTGGCGCCCTGTCCAAGGTGTACCAGCATTTATCCCATAGACTGCTGGAGACAGATGAAGCAGGACAAGATGGATTGATGGAAAGAATGTGTCAATACAACCCATAAGAATTTTCATAGGATGTTGGCTGCACCTGTAAAAGAAAAATATAAGTTGTCAGTTAAAAAAAAAAATGATTAAAAAAAAACACCCTCTCTCATTATTCTGGCATTTATTGGATAGATAGATTATTAATGTCCAAAGGAAAAAAGGAACATGTGTTCTTAAAAGGTTAATATATGTCAACCTGTTAGTTATACCTCTCCATCATGATGGACAAATGTATGTGCCATCTTTTACAGTTCACCGCCACATTAGCAACGAACCTTTGGTAATGCCTGTTATTCGGCGCCACGAAATGTTGTCCATTACCCACCAGGAACTGCTGCAACGTCACAAGGACATGCAGCTGGAGGTGGAGCAGGGTCAGCAGCAGCTGGAAAACATGAAGCAGCAGCACAGCATCAAACAGCTGGTAAGAGACCTAAACCTCTCAAATAATGCTTCTGAATATCAGTTGGCTTTAATGATTCAATCTTCCACACACAGATGTCCAACAGGAAACTATATGAACTGCTGAGCGAGTTAGAAGGCCTGGAAGAGAAGAACAAGCAGGCAGAGGTTAACTTACTGATGAGACGACGTGTAACCAGAAAGGAGGTTTGTTTTCTTTAACATTAAAGTTGCAAAATAATTGAGCTGTTCAGAAACAATACAATGTGCTTATGTGTCTCCCAGGCTGTGGAAACTGGAAGAACACTTATGGCTGTTAAAAATCTTGCACATCACTGTTACCTTCCAGAGTACGGAGATCTGGAAAGCATGAGTGTGCCGACAATGATGGACATGGTGAAGGTAACATCGTCATCTATGAACTTCTAAAACTGAGAATCTGTGAAAGCTTAGCAGATATATTTATATTTTATATTAATTGAAACAACGTGAAAAAAATACAAGAAATATAATCGATAAGATCTGAATAAAAAAGTGTTTTTTAAGTATAAACAAAAAAAAGTTTTAAAACTTAGGACACATTTCTTAGTATATAAAATAGATCAAATCACAAACAGACCTAACATATTAGGAGCACATAGAGTATTAGAGCATGGTGTGCTACTGACTGATGAAGCGATAATAAATATGTCAGGAGCCAAAAAGCTTTCAGCTTGTCAGTTTGGTGAGAGATTTCAAGGGGTAAATTATTTGGAATAACTGCAAGATGAGGATATTGAAAACAACTGACCACAAAACTAGCGCTGCCTGAACAAGCAAGTTCATCCCAGGAGCAGACCATCAGACGAATACAGGAGAGAATGTAAACAAAGATGAGCACCTCTGAAATGTTTGTCATGAAACAAATAGTGCACTTTAGGAAAGGGGCCTTATTCCACCTGCGCAGCATGGAGGTGGACGTTTCATTGTTTTGGTATATTTTTCTCTGCTGCACCTGGCCAACTGATCATTTCTCCATGAATTCTAAAAATATTTTAGAAGGTGGAAAAAGATTAAAGCCCATGCAGAACTTGATCCTCAAATATGAAAATTAAGTTAATTACTCTGGCATTTAGCCAATGTGAAATCTCTTTGTTAGTCTTCTTCAATGCAAACTAGGAAATATTTACTCAGATACAATATCAGACACCAATAGGAGAAAAGAGTTGTGTGTCTATTTTTAACAGCCTATAAAATGTGGTTTCCGTACACAATGATAACGAAATGAATGTCCAAACAAATATTTTAGGAGTTCATTCTGGACAGCGCAGACACTGAGAGGAGAGTGAGGAAGCTGGAGTCCTGCTCTACAGCAAGTCTGACTGACAAAAGATGGAGAAAATCACTGAAAAGCATCGGAAGCAAAGTTCAAATCAAAAGTTCAAGCAGAGTCAGTAAAATGAGTGACACATTCAATTGATGCTGGTTTTTTCCCCGATCATTTTCACACTGACTTCGTTGCTAATTGCTTTTTTACTTATTCTGGAAGATTTTGTCAACATTTTTCTCTGTTAGGCATATGTAAGACTGTTTAATTTCTATACAACAAAGTTCTTAGGTTCCAGAACCTGGAAAGGTCAAGGGGACATAATTGCTATTCTATTGAAAAATAAATATTTGGATTCAAATGATGCATCTATGTTTCTTTGTATATTTAGAAACTTTGCTATGTTAACAGAGATACAGAGAAATGACTCTTTGAAGGAAAGCTTTCATTAATACACACAGGTAAGATGATATGTTTTATTTTCTGATGGCAGTTATAGATTAGAAAATGCAGTTTACAGAATGTGGCCAAAATAAGTTAGACCTATCTTTGGAAATTTGTGTAATCTCTTTTATCTCTAGTACATCTTTCTAAAGACTGAGTAACAAACTGCATGATCTCTTCTTAAGGTCTTTTTCTTCAGGCACCTTTGTTCAAATTATTATTTTTAATCCACAAGTAAAATCTGATAGTGAAAATAACTAGTTCTCCAACGTTGACATTAGCCGATGGGTTCAGCTCTAACATAAACTTGGGTTGTTTTCAAGTCAGACCTTGTCTCCATTTGAGCATTTAACTTTTTAATTATTGCTCCACCTGCAGAAACCATTTTTAAATCATTCCCATATGTCACGTTTAACAGTAAGTAAGAGATTACTGATGTAAAGTATAAATATGCATCTTTTCAATTTTTTTCAGCTATATGTATTGATTGTTAGCAGTATCACATGTGTCGGCGGTGATTGTGGTAAAATATTGCTTTTTCAAAGTGGACATTTTTCCCCTTAGGGTAAATCCATCAAAGCTACATTGTGTAATAATACAGGGATTTACGGTATTATACAAAAGTATGTTATTTATCATCATCTATGGTGTGCTTTAGAAATTGCTATTTAAAATTGCACAGGAACGGGTCGCATTTGTATGGAGGCAGACATCTTTACTAAGGTAGGGCAGAGCTGACAATCTAGTGACAGTAGGGACCACATTAGGCTCCAGTGTGACTGCGGCTAGTAAGGCCTGTAACCTATAAAATCTATATGCAAAACAAACTAATAAAATTCTATTTATAAAATTATCTATGTAAACAAACCTCATCATGACTTAGCAAGAAAGGTGATGTGGACATTGTGGGAGCCATTTTGCACCGTGACGGGCTCCGTATTACTGGCAGGGGCGGAACTAGATGGGGGGGCCATGGTGGCCATGGCCACCCCTACCATTTATTCCCTCCAACACAGACGGTGGCAGCAGTAATTCTCGCAAGTGGTGATTTTCTAACTTATTTAACATTTAAATTTTTCATGTTAACAGTTGACTCTCTATGACACTTTAAAAAATTAGGTTGAAGATTATAAAGGACCAAAAAATAAATAAGTTAAATATTACAAAGGCAAATAAATAAAGAGGCTAATTAAAATAGTTATATACATTTATGTATCACTATATAATTTAATTTCTACTTACATTTATTTGTTTATTGTATTTTTGGTGGCAATTAATTGTATGCTTATTTATTTATAGAGCATTTATTTATTTCTGTATTTATTTTTAAATATGGCAGAGTTGGTCCTCCATAGGACCGCTGTCCTCTAATCCGTGACCTCTGAATTAAACCGAAGCCAAGAGTAACGAGTAACATTTGTTTTAAAAATGTAAGGTATAGAATGTACAGATACTTGTGTGAAAATGTAACGAGTAGAAGTCAGAAGTAGGAAGAAAAATAAGTAATGGAGTAAAATAAAGATACCTAAAAAGTGTACCTAAGTACAGTAATGAAATATCTGTACTTCGTTACTTGACACAGCTTGGTGTCAGTGACAGGGCCCCGAAGAGGTCAGGGGCCCCTAAGCAACTGCAGTCTCTGCTTACCGATGTTTACGCCATTGGCTTGTATCTGCACTACTTATTGCGAGAGACTCAAAATTCAAACGTATATTCACTGTTCTTGTAATAGCCTACATGTGTAATCCAGTCACTAAGGAGCGATTATGACGTCAGCGGCAAGCGGCGCACTGGCCCTTTAAATGGATTGCACATGTTCTTCCGCAAACATCCGGTTTTCTGAAAGTGGAAGTTACATGTTTTACGAAACGAGATCTTGCCCGTATTTTGACGCATGTTGTGTTGCGTGAGACCGTGTGAATCTGCGCCAGGACCCTAAGCTGCTGGACTGTCAGCAGATGGAGGTCTGCAGCCTGGTTTCCTGCAGAGAGGACATCTCATCGCTGCTGGCCGAGGAAACGCCGAGTCCCAAGTATAAAGTATGCGGCCTAATGTGTAGATGCCTCATATTTAGACGGGCCGTTGTGTTACAACTATAATTCCCCTGTTGTCTAAGGACTTAGGTCGCCAATTTTCAGCTGTGAGGAGGGTTCGCGGTGATGGAAACTGCTTCTATAGAGCAGTCTGCTTCGCACATCTGGAATCTGTCCTGCACAGTCCCAGAGCCCTGCAGAGGTCAGTAATGCATTGCACTCTTTAGAGACCCGAGAATAAACTCTGCAGAACTGAAGGTCCCTGCAGATTAGAATCTGCTCCATTGCCATCAGGGCTATGCAGAGTTCATCAGTGTTCTCTGCAGAGCTCCAGAGCCAGCAAAGTTCAGCAGTGGGCTGTTCTCTGCACAATTCCCGGCCCCTGCAGTCAGGGTTCAGACAATGTTTTCTGCAGAGATTCAAAGCCCCAGGAATTGATCTGCAGTCTACAACCCCAGGTCCTTACCAACCTCTGCAGGTTGCACAAAATATGCTCTGCAGAGGTTAGTGGGACCCTGTGCATAAAAAAATAAAAAATAACAAAAGTGTTGTGTGTGTGTGTGTGTGTGTGTGTGTGTATGTGTGGTCTTTGTTTCAGATTTAAGGACCAGATCATACAAGGTAGAGGAGTTTTGGTTTCTGCAGGATTCGATGAGACTTCATTCAGCCAACACATGAATAGAGTAAGTTTCTCTCAAGTTTCTTTTGTTAGCAGACATTTTCTAACTATTCTGCCCGTTTAAAAAAAAAAAAAAAAGGTGTACAGTAAACGCATTGCAAGATAAAACTTTAAGACCCATCATGAACAGTTATTGCTTGTTATAACAGTTTATTTAAATCCCATTTGTCGTCTTTTAAAGTCGTAGGGAAATCATATTTAAATGTCACATCATTCTGGCTTAAACATGTATATAAATGAACTCTTTATCAGACCATATTGTCCCAAAACGTAGAAAATTTCTATAAAAAAAAATAAAATTCTGTCTTAAAATCAGTGTTTTGAGTTTTTCGTTATTTTATGCAGGCCAGTTAGTTATACCTCAGCCTGTACACCTAAATTCGGCCAATTATATATATCAACAATCATGTGTCAATCACATTTTTTTAGGCATCTTAATTCATGTCGCAGCTAATATACGCAACGGTTGAAATAAGAATAATTTACTTTCCCATTGAGTTCCGTCCAAGTGTTCACTGGGATGGATGTCTGTGTCTTCAGCAGGCGTAGAGCTAACAGAACTGGCAGCGTTGCGAGGCAAGGGCTCAATCATGTACGGCTGTAGCCTTCTACACCTAACCAAGCCCCTGCCACCATTGCGTCCTCTTGCACAACACCTTTGTCCCCGCTTTCCTCCTCTAAATAAAAAAAATTTATTACAGAGATTCATCCATGACGTCCGACCTTCCTAAGACGTTAAATAAATTTGAGGCCAGAGATTCATGCTAAAATAAGCTTGTATTTTTTAACTTGTTTGAAGTTAAATAGGACTACCTGAAAGCAACATCAAGGAATTTTAATAATGATAATAGAACTTTATTGATCTCACATTGGAGAAATTTACCTCTGCATATTACCTATCCCCTTGGGAAGCAGTTGGCTGCCATTGTGTGGCGCCCGGGGAGCAGTGTGGGGTTAAGGGTGAAAATAGTAATAAAACAATCAGAAACAAGATTACAAGTCTTTTTACTGCAAATTTAAAGATAAGTTAAAGGGTCAATTTATGAAAGAGTTATACACCTTTATTTATTGAATACTGTTGCTAATTTCAAGGATTTCCAAACAGCAGCTAAACATTTTAATTATCTTTGTTTCACTTGCGTTTCTACTTGTTTAATGAGTCTGCAAACGTAAGCAGCCACAGAAAGCCCAAACCAGTTGACTGAGTCTAACTGGTTTGGGCTTTAGGTGACTGCTTGTAAACTTTTTTGGCACTTGGATCAATAATTATCCAAACACGCACAGCCTTGAATGCATTTTCTAAAGAAAATAAATATTTCCTGCCTCGTCAGCTCTGTTTACGTGTTTTGGCTGATGGTTGGTTTGATCTGCAGGTTTTCCATGTGGTGGATCAGTGCATGGCTGCAGAGCATGAAGACGTCCTCCTCAGGCTCTTTAACGAGCAGCTCATCTCAGACAGCGTGGTGCAGTTCCTCAGGCTCCTCACATCTGCGCACCTTCAAACCCATGCAGAATTCTTCTGCAACTTTGTGGAGGCACCGGATCTAAAGGTGTACTGTCGTCAGGTAGTTAATAAAACTCTGCTGGGAAAATTCAAGTTTCAAATGGATCTAAGGCGCTGATGAAGTCTTCCCTCTGCCTCATTCAGGAAGTGGAGGTGATGGCTATGGAGTGCGACCACGTGGACATCTTGGCCGTGTCCCAGGCTCTGGACATCGGGATCCACATCGTGTCTATGGAGGGGGATGAACGGCAGCTGGTCCACCACATCATCCCAGAGGGAGCGGATCCCTCCGTGCATCTCCTCTACCAGATGTCGCATTACAACATTCTCTACAGACAAACTCAATCCGGACAAGCTCAGGAAATAACAGCACCTTTAAACTAAATAAAAACACATACGAGGCTTTTAGACCCTTATGAAAAGCGACTTTTATAAAATATCAGTCCATCAAAATAGCCACACAATAAGCAGCTATTCTGTGAGATTCAGAAGTGTTTGGTTAAACCACCTCACACCTGCTTCTTCCCCCTTCTTTTCCTCTGCCTTTTCCCTTTCTGCTGCTGAGGAAGGCCTATCTTCAGCTTTTGTCCATTCTTCTGTCCTGAAATCCTGGTCAGAGCGCTTTCCGTCCCCATGGCGACCATGTTTGCCAGGGCGAGTTTTCCCATTTTAGTCGGGTACTTTGTTCTGACCAAATTCTTAAATATTGGCTGTGTAATTAGATGCTTTAAATGCTTCTTCAACCCCTTTACCATCCTCTGCTGCTCCCGGTCTACCTCTTGCTCTTTAGCTCCACCTGTGGACAGAGACGGCTCATCAGTTTTTTTTCTCTCCAAGAGTGTATGGCTGCAGCCCGGAGACCTCCCATGTCACAGTGCTTATCTGATGGCTATTGTCTGGTGAATTTAAGCCACACCAGCATGATCTTCTTTCAAAAACTCACGTTTCACATCCTCATAACTTGTCCCTTTTTTTGTTTCAAATTGTTTCTCTGCAGTTTTATCATGAATAATTAGCTACATCGCAAGAGTGATGTTTTAAGATATTGTTTGATGACTCACTCAAAAACTAGGTTCAGGTTTTGAGTCCTGTAGTGTTAATAATTGAAAGGGCACAGACAGGCTTTTAGCTAGGAATATTTCATAGGGTTTACACCTTGGTGTATCACATCTTTTGGGGGGGGGGGTATCCTCCCCCAGAACATTTTGAAATTAAGACTCTTTGAAATGCTTTTTCCTGCATTTTGAGGTGGAATACAGTTAGATAGTGGGGAGTATGTGTGCTTGACTAGAGGTGGACATTTCATACGGAACACATGGTATCATTTTAAGGTACAATATTATGTGTCATAGGTTAGTTCAAACAATCAGAAAGTGTAATGCTAAGCTCATACTGCGCTTTGAGCAGCAAAAAAAGCTTCTGCTGCTTCATTTTTGCTGCCTGTACACATTAGGGTCAGACGCGCCTCACGAGCACCTTTGATGCTCCTAAAGCGCGTCCAGTGAAGTGTGTCCAATGGCAGAGAGCGGCTTTGCGGCTTATATTTGCTGTAATAAGTCAGTAAAAACTAGGGTTTATATTTTATAAAGTGAGAAAATCCAGTCTAAAACATCATCTGTACAGTCAGTTCATCAAGATTATGATCATGCCTTAAAATGTTATTTGCTGTTGGAACCGCTCAGATCCCTTCATACCAGCGGGGCGCCGTCACTGAGAATCCCCAGCAACAGCCGCCTCAGGCCCAGTTTCCTTTTGGGGCTTTTTTCCCTACTGTTCGTGGCGGCTGGAAGAGAATTTTAGCGTTTTTCAGTTATATGGTACAAACTGCAAGCATGAGAGTAATAAAAGTGAAGAGATTTAGTCGACAATCGACATTTTAAGTTAATTTAGGCGTAAATAAACTGTCTCAGTATAGAGACCATAGTTCTCTACATGAGCAGCGCTGTGTCTGTCTCCCTGCAAGCCTAAAATCAGCTTCTCTGATTGGTTGATGTGGCGCGTCGAGCAGCAAAAGTTTGATTTTTCCAACTCCAGCATCTGCAGCCTGTGGAATTTTGAACATTTGAGCAAAGTTTCCGGGGGAAAAACATTTAATAACTGATGTTATTAAATGTAAAGTTTAATTTTTAAAAGGTAACGGCATAGAGGTTAAAAGGCTTAAGTTCACCAGACAAGCGCCATGGAGTGAGCGCAACAAGACAGACTCTCCTGACTGCAGCCAAACCTATTCAATCTTTTTTTTTTTTTTATTGAGACAATAGATGTTACTGAGTAAATCTCACCCATAAGGAGATCATCATCCAGGTCCAACTCCATGGCCTCTGCTGCCTTCTTGAACCAGGAGTCATGCTGCTTCTCTCTGCTGTTGTAGAACTCAATCTTTTCTATCTTCCTGGCAATGTTCACTCGCTCCTGTAAAGTCCCCGGAGATTAGAACAAGATGGAACCTCAGTCAAAGATCCTGACATACAATCCCAGTAGCTTTTAGTTCTGGTTAGAAGTACAGCACTGAGGACCAGTTTATTTAAAAGCACTTTATCTTTCCACATCCTCCCAAGCCCCTCATTTGACAATCATCTAAAAGGCTTTACTGTCACTCATGATGATGATGATGGATCATACCTTGATGGCCTCCATGCATTTGTTCTCCACGGGGAACAAGGTTAGCTCCTCTTCCTTTCCAAGAGTCTTGGAAATCTTTTTGAAGTTCATCACATCATCTGGGCCTACGAGCACTAGACTGAGACCCTCCTTGGCGGCTCTCGCCGTGCGGCCGCTACGATGAACATAGGTCTCTGATGTTCGAGGAACCTGAAGCAAAAATAACAGTTGTCTGATGGTGCAATCTCTACTTTAGTTTAAATGTATTTGACCTAATTTCTGCACAGAATTCGCATAGCAGATTGCACTAAATGATACAGGAGCAATCCTGCTTATGAAGTCCAACAACTGTTTAATTTTACATCAGATCTTCAACAAACAAGTCATTCCAGAGTAATAGCTTTGTTTTTCATATTAATATTTTAATTAGGCCTAAAGGATCCCTCAGGATTTCATTTTCACATAACTGTATTAGTGTTGATCACAGAAATCGGAACATTTTGGAGGTAAAATACAGGTTTTCACTGCAGTCTTTCCTTCAATTTTTTTGAAACTGTTGTTGGCTTTCATTCAAAATACTTTTTTTAATACACTACTATGACTAACAATTTAGTTTTTTTATTTCATTGTGTGGAAATTTCTTTGAATTATTATTTTTTATTGTTTTCCATTGTGTGAAGACATTTTTTATGTATTCTATCAACTATTTTTCATATCTGGGAAGTAATGTACTCTGTTTTTGTTTTCCTAAAAAAATAAAATAAAAAAAAAATATAAAAAAAATAAAATTAAAAGAACAGTTGTGTACGGCAAGGACTAAATGAAATGACTATGTTCATACTTTTGGAGTAATTTGTATGACGGGCATTTAAAAAGCATGTTAATACGACTCCTGTCTGACAAAATGAGTTTTTTCCAGAATATTTAAGAGGATCTGAATGAAGGAATAATCCTGACTCTGCAAACCAAACTGATGCGGCTGATTTTAAACAGAAAGAATAATACATTCATTCTGAGATAAAAACAAAGCATGTAATAAAGTTTCAAATAAACCATAAATAATCTCTTAAGTAATAACTAAATAAAAATTTTAATTGAAGTTCACACATCTAAAATGAGGCTGATTTGGTCTCCTCATTGTGTTGCTAAGGTCTTTGTTATGGATATTAATAGTTTTTTTTCAATAAAAATTATTTGCAAAAACATCAACTATGCTGAATAAATCCCTATGGCAATAAAAAAGATAAGCAGTTTGCTGAAAATAGCTACTTTTAGAGTAGATTTTTGTCCATTTTGAGTATTAGAGGCTTCTTAAACTCAAAAATAGGTTTACCTAAACCTGACTTACTTGCAGCAGAGTCTACAGCAAGAATAACCTTAATAAAATACCTTAAGAATCGCAGCATTTTTTAATGCTTTTGGTGTTTTTAGTATCCGAATTACAAATGACAATACTTGTACTAATGTTTACAATATTATGCATGGCTCTCTGCTGACTTCTTCATGTTATTAGAAACTTGTTTCATGATTTTATTGTTTATCTAAAGTTTCGCCTTCAAAGGAAGGAAAGGACAGATGGACTGAAGGAAGAAAGGAAAATGGATGGACTGAAGGAAGAATGGAAAATGGATGGACTGAAGGAAGAAATCAAAGAAGGAATGGAGAAAACAATGAGTAAATGAAGGACAGGAAGTAGTAGAAAAGGAAATAGGAATAAAGGAAAGGATGGAACCAAGGAAGAAAAGGGGTACAGCAGAAGAAAGGTAGGACAGAAAGAGGCAAGGTGACAAAGAAGGAAGAAAGGATTCCAGTAAGAAAAGAATGATGGACACAAGGGAGGAATGAAGGAAATCATTTAAATTACTAAAAAAAGAAATCAGAAGGTAGGTAGAAAAAAAAGGATCTCTCTCATTTCAATACTTTACAGACCTGCTCATATTTCCTTGACAGCAGTTAGTAAATGTGAGAACATGTTGAGGTTGAAGACGAGAGGCCCTCACCTGATAGTGGATAACATGCTGAACGTCGGGGATGTCAAGGCCTCTCGCCGCCACATCAGTGGTGAGAAGAACGCAGCTGTGGGGACAGGTTAGGACGTTTAATGTCAGAGAAACCTGTCCATTGGTATGATTCAGTATTTTAGATGGAATCCGATTCACAATATTTGACAAATCACGGTTGTTCATGTCCCGTCAGTAACACCCAGGGGCTGCAAGACTTACTTCTCTCTTTCAGCAAAGCGTTCCAAGTTTTTGAGGCGTTGCTTCTGGTGCATGTTGGCATGCAGAGGGAGAGCACAGCAGTCCAAGATGCCCAGCAGAGCAGTGAGCCGTTTGATGCAGTCGATGCTGTTGGCGAACACCATGGTGCGACCAGGATACTGAAGCAGGAAGTAGTACAGATAGAAGTCCTTCTCCTCCTTCTGACAATGGATCTGCGTTTCGGTGAGGGTCTCCACGGTGGCCTCCTTCCTGGTGAGGTCAATGACTTTCGGTTTGGACTTAATCCCCACCTTCTCCATGAGGATTTCCAGTTTGCTCCTGTTGTCCAGCTTCTTCTTCTTCTGCAGGACGCGGCTGGGCAAACCGTGGACCATGGTCAGAGTGGCGGAGAAGACGAATGTCTGTCTGGTGGGATTGAAGTGTGTGGTGCTCAGCATCTCCAGGAGGCTCTCCAGCTCAGCAAAGTGACCTCTCTCTACCATGCGGTCGGCTTCGTCAATCACCAGACACCTGCAGCACAACAGCAGAGCAACACTTTGATCATCCCCCAGGCTTCAGCTTCCTTAGACTGTCCATCTTTCTCTACAGCCCCTGCAGTTTACCAGAGGCAGAGTAATCAAAGCAGCCCCACATCATCACTGAGCCACTGCTGTGCTTTCCTATAAGACCAATGGGCCTCATGCAAGAAGCTTTTGTACACACAAATTTGTTCTTAAATTGTTCCTGAGGAATTTAGGAGAAAATGCCAACATTTTATTTCTAATAAAATTTCTAATCTTCTCTCAGGTACAAACACATTTTATGAGTGCTTCAGACTAGATGTAGGAGTCCTGCACAGTGAGTCAGCTGTTATGCAAACCTTGTTTTTCACTAAATAATCACATTTGTTACTTAGAAACTTTTCCATTTTATTGAGCTACATCCTTATATATCATGCAACTCAGCAATTATGAATTACATTTTTATTTCCTGATAACAGAACTATTGGCCACTACACCTGCAGCTGGCATGTTTATGCAAAAGAAAGAACAGTTGGGGAGCTCTATGTGAGATCAAGCTACTATTGAAATGACATCTGGAATAGAAAATGGATAGAAACTTCAGCAACACGGTATGACCTGCATTAATTTAACTTCAGAACACGGCATCTTGGTTTGTGATTACATAAAATGAGCAGCATTTGGGTTTAATTTGTCCAATTAAAAATTTTCCGTAAACATTTTCATGTTTATCTGTTGTATGATAGAGATGGAGAAGAAGGAATGACAGACGTGGTCTAGAGATGTGCGGTACACGTGTATTAAAAGGAGATTTTGCAGAATGTTGCCTTGTGCTGTTGAGGGCGAACTGATATTAAGCATTTACATAATATGTTGCACCTCCACAAGGTCTGCATGGACATTTTTGCAGCCACACAGCTTGATTCTTCACACCACAAAGCTGGGAACAAACATGAAAGTTCTATGCAGAAAAATATGATGGAAAGTTGAAAGCTACCTATGACTTGGCCTATAAATATCCCACGATCAACAGACTGTAAACATCCATCTTCTGTCATGCTTATCTAGAACCTTCTTGCTGCCGGGCAAGAAGGTTCCAGGAGAGACTGTAAAAACTTTTAGAAAGAAAAAAAAGTAATGTCCGTCTTGGAGGTCAGAAAATGTGGGAAAGACCTGTGTTTTCTATACTCAGCATAACCCAGGTTTAAGTTGTTGATTAAAAACAATGTTGCAGGTAGCATTACCTCACAAGTAGAGCACAGTCTTCTACCTTCAGCAGAGGTTTAGATTTTGGATAATATCACTGCAATATTGATTTAATCATCTAAAGCAGATGAATAATTGAGCATGAATTGCAAACACCCAATTCCAGTTTAGCAGTTAAAATGAAAGTGCTGTGGTGTTTTATGGGGGCTGTGTAGTGTAACTATCCAGAGTACAGCTGCACGGTTTATCACTATCAATACCAATGTGTAACATACCACCTTTGCAACGGACTGTTTGGAGCTCTGATTGTTGGTTATTTAACAAAAAATTTAATTAACTTGTATTTTACAAATTATTTTGGTTATTAATCAGTTGGAAAGAGACTCACTGCAGCAGATGTTCGCCCTGGACACAAATTTAATAGCGGAAAATGCCAAAAAGGCCACAGAGTGATTCAAGCAGAGTCTTAAGAGGGAAGAATAAACTAGGAATAATAATCAACCAACATCGCCATTAAAATATTTACCAATATTAGATTGTCAAATATCCTGCAGCCCTGATAACTTGGAGAGCAAATGTTGCACAAACTATGGCCTAAATGACAAAAAAGCATCAAAACTCTACAGAAGCAAGTCTTAAAGGCAGATTTATGCATAAACAGCATCTTTTTCTACATTATATTTTATTTAAACTGCGCAGTATGCTGTCCTCCAGGTGTGATCATTTCCGCTAGTGTGTACAGGTTACTGCTACTGCTGATGAAGGTTCTCAGTCATCCAGGTCATAGTCATTCCGTAAAAATTCAAAAAATATCCACTGGACTTGGTTTTCAAGATTACTGCTACTCTGCTTGACATAGCAATTCCTTTATATAAACTGTATGGACCCGTAGCCAGAGGTTTATGAAATACGACTCACTTTAGCTGCCTGAGGTTAACCAGATGAGGATGCTGCTCCTTGATCAAATCCCACAAACGTCCTGGAGTAGCGATGAGAATCTCCGGCCTGCGCTTCAGCATCCTCCGTTGTTTCTGCTGCGACATTCCACCCACCACTATGGCTGTTTGGATGTCTGCAGGAGGGGAAGACAAGGGTTGAAACTACAGAGAAAACTGGAAAGCTGATGAGATTTTATTTTACATTTTTTAAATCGCTACCAAAAACCCTGAATAAATGATGTCCAAGTTATTGTTATTATACAAAGCATGAGCCCAACAGAAGCCTAAATTAAATTGTCTTTAAACTGATTTAAACTAATTTTAGTGTTTAAACCGATTACCTGTGAATTTAGCGACAGCATCGATGTGGTGTTTGACCTGAACAGCCAGCTCCCTGGTTGGAGTGAGAATCAGTCCGAGGAGAGGCCGGTTCTGTCCATCATTGGTCTTTTCCTTGAAATCAAACTCTGCATCGTCAATCACTCGGACACACCCCAGCTGCTCGTCATCCTCAGCCTCCTCTTCCTCCTCATCAGAGCCCGTCTCAGCCTGAAATACTTCGCTCTCATCCTCCTCCTCTGGAGCCTCCACCACGTCATCCTGCTGATCTCCCGTTTTGGGCTCCTCCTTGTCGCCTGGATCAGTCGTCTTCCTTGAGCTGCTCTTCCATTCCAGGATGGTGTGGATCATGGGAATACCAAAAGCTAGAGTCTTACCACTTCCTGCAATTATAAATAAGTTTCAGTGATCATGGATTAGGAAATGTTTGCTGATGAAGGCCTTGGTGGGAACTTCAAGTTGTCTTACCGGTCTCAGCCGCCCCAAGGATGTCCATGCGATCTCTGATGGCTGGAGGCAAAGCCAAGGCTTGAATGGGAGTGGGTGAAGTGAAACCCAGCCTGCTTAAAGCCTTCAGCACTTCAGAGGGGACGTACAGGTCCTTCCAAGCGCTCACATCCGAATTTTTCTCCTCAGAACCAGAAAGTGCTGCTTCTGTCCAGTTCTTTGTCTGCATTTTGGGCTTTCTTTGATTCTGACTTGGTTTTTCTTTTTCAGGAGGTTTGAAGTCGGTCTGTTCCTCTGTGATTGCAACCTGGTCTAATTTTTTCTTTTTCTGCCTATTTTTCTTCTTCTTTTCTCTCTTATCTGTGTTAATAGACTGAGCTTGTTCAGAGGTGGCTGCTGATTCTTTCTCACCCTCTCCATCCTGCTTAGTAGCAGCTTCACCTTCCTCCATCAGGTCCTCGTTGGTCTCTGGATCACCTGAAGCCACCTTCTCATGTTTCTTCTTTTTCTTCTTAGCAGGTTCGGCTGCTTCCTCTCCAGTTTGCTCGGCTCCTCTCTTCTTTTCCCGTTTCTTTTCCTTTTTCAGCTGTTTTGCAGCCTTGCTGCTGTCTACCAGACTGTAAGATGTCAGCTCTTCAAAGCAAACCAAGTCCTGCAGGCCTTCCTGGGAAAATAAATGAGGGTCCAGCTCCACTGGTTTCCATTTGCCTTTCATATCGAAGCTCCGTTTTACTGAGGAGAGCCGTTTTTCTCCAGTTTTTGCCTTCTTTTGCTTCATTTTGCTCCAAACTCAACAGATTTCCCAACTGAATACTCGAGCACGCTGCTTTAAAAATATATCAGATTTTTCCAAAGTTATACCTCGGTAATAAATAAATGAATGTCTACCTGAAGATTATCAATAACAACAGTTTGTCTACAGTAAAGCGACTTCGGGCAAATCAGACAGCACATGACACGAGGGCGCCGCCATGACAGTTTTTTACTTCTTCTTCTTCTTGGATTTATTGGCGGTTGGCAACAAACATTTAGTAGCATTACCGCCACTTACTGGTATGGAGTGTTGTTCGTACCGTATAAATTTTAAGGATAAAAAAATATATATATATATATACGGTATATATATATATATATTATATATATATATATATATATATATATATATATATATATATATATATATATATATATGCACGTATACATTTACTATATATATAGTAATATATATAGTAATATATATAGTATAGTGTATGCGTGTGTATATATGTATATATAGTAAATGTATACGTGTATATATATGTATATATAGTATATGTATGGGTGTGTTATATATGTGCGTATATATATATATATATATATACATATATGAGTATATATCAAATTTTCGCCTCATATGTCTTCTCTGGCTTTCATATTTATGACATTCCAGTATAACATGTTCTATGGCAGTGGTTCCCAAAGATTTGCTTCTGGGCCCCCCTTTGGATTACAATAAAATTTCCACCTTTGGGAACCACTGTTCTATGGTTTCATATTTTCCACAGTAATCACATTTGCCAGTAGTATGCTTTTGAATTTTGATTATTATAATTAAGTCCTGTATGCCCAAAGGTTAACCTTGTTATCACTCTCCCCTCCTTCCTATTTCATCTTCCATTTCTTCTTTTTTCTACTAACTTCTGAATTTGATAAAACCGTCTTCTTTTTTTTCTTCTTCCCACCTTTTTTGCCATTTTTCCAATTAGTTTTTTTTAAATAATACTCTTTCCCTCCGATTTAGTAGTTTTATCTGTAAAACTAATAGGATTTTAAATTGCCCTCTTTACCATTTTATCTGCTCTCTTTTTTCCTTCTACTCCAATATGTGCTGGAACCCACACAAATGCAACTATCAAACCCATATTTTTTATTCTGAATAAGGTATGAAATATTTCTAATAGAATGTCCATCCTTCTACCTGATTTATTATATTTTAAACTTAATAATGCAGAGCTTGAATCTGAACAAATTACTGTTTTTATTGGTTTTATGTCTTCTACCCATTGTAAAGCTTATAATATGGCCAACATTTCCCTTGTGTATACTAATAATCCATCTGAAATCCATTATCCTGTTTTTATGTTGAATTCTGGTATTACAAAAGCTATTCCTATTTTCCTTGTTATTTTTGATGCATATGTATACATTTGAATATATTGACAATAACTGTCTAAATGTAACTGTACTAAAGTAATATCTACTGTGTACGATTTATTTTGCTTCTTTTCCATTATTGCCATATCTACTATTGCATCTGGTAGAATCCATGGTGGTATAACTGAACAACAGTATTATCACATGGTTCGAAAAACTGTATTTATTTAACGACGTGAACAGTCAGTCAGGGTTAACTCCTGCGCAACAGATGAGTAACTTTCCCAACAAAATACAGACAAAATCTTTACTGAAGCCAGAAAAATGTTCCTCCACTATAAAGCTTGTTTAGATTTTATCTTCCATTTTTTTCTCTCTCGCTTAATATTGTGGGTTTTTTCTGTAAATGTATGCTCTTTCATTTTGCTCTGTTTTCTTATATGTGGTTTCTGTGCAGGGTGTCTGAACATTTTGTACTTATGACTTCATAGTGTCAATTTAGATTCTTAATTGCCTTATTGTAAAAAACAAAACGCAGTGAAAAAACATTTTCTTATTGTTTGCTGCACTGCTTTACACGCTGATACAATACAGTTTTGAGTAATTTTTTTGATTTATTTAACCATAACTTGAATATTATTCCAACAATTACCTGGAAAGAAGGAAGCAAACAAGCAAGTTAGCGGTATCTCCATACAAGCAAACCCAGCCATCCAGTATATGGAGTGAAGCTGTTCGACAGTTCAATTACAGCCAAAATCATTCATACAACTGGCAGATTTCTTTTTACAAGTACTTTATTTATCCATTCATCCTTTTTCTGTCATGCTTATCCCTGTTGGGGTAAGGTCGCCAGTCTATCGCAGGCCAACACAGACATTCACACACACTCACAAGGAGAATTTATAGAAGCCAATTAGCAGTTGTGTTTTTAGACTGTGGGAGGAAGCCGGAGTACCAGGAGAGAACCCACTCATGCACAGGGAGAACATGCAAACTCAGTGCTACCCACTGCCCCACTGAGCAGTGTGTATTTTATTCAAACTAAACTATTTCATTTACAATCAGAATGGAGACAGTAATCTCTAACACGATACAATGTTAATGTATCAGTTTATCAGTCTTAAAAAAAAAAGCAAATTGAAATTTGTTTATTCCTTTCTGAAGTTTATTCCAGGAATCTCTCCCTTTTTATGATTTCCAGCCATATATTTTTATTTTCACAATTCATCCTTAATGATGAGCTACAAGTCTCTGAGGTTGGAGGACCTCCTTGCTCTTACCCTGATCTTTACCTCCCTTTATCAAATTTTTGGGGAAAAGCGACCCAAATATCCGCCTAGAAAAAAACAACCTTAAAAAAATCATTTAAAACCTAAATAAGCTAATTCTGCCTAGACTAAGAAAAAAGCTTTTGAGAGGCTTTACAACTCAAGGCCCGCTGACTACAAAAGTTAAACAGCAAAAAAAAATTACCTTCTTTAATATGGGAAATATTTTTAATATGGTTTAGCTTGGAAGCGGGAATCTAAATAGTTAACAACGGTTAGTCAAGTAAGCTTAATATAACTTATAGTTGTCATTTCATGAAGGCATTTCTCATGTTGCATGTAGGTGTGTTCAGACCGGACGCGGCGTCTGTGGTGATTTCTGCGAGCACTGCAGGGAGTTCACCGCGGTTTGCATAGGAATTCTATGTGAACCTATGTGCCACGTCCGGTCTGGACGCACAATTGCCGAAACTTGAATACACCCTATAGACACAACAAAGCAAAAAAAAAAAAAAAAAAAAGGGGTTAAAGAAAAAGCATCACAAAAGGCTGACCAAAGAGCAAGCAATATCCACAGGCTACTAGAGATTAAACTGATGCATGAAAAACAACTATTTTTTAGAGGGGTCAATGACTCTCCCCATGAACAAGACGCAGTTTGTGTCCTCGTGGTATATGAAGAAGAAGAAAGGTCTGTTGATGGTGAACATCTTGGGCAGAGAGTAGGGAATGATACCGATGGTGGTGCTAGCAGCTGCAGTTGTTCCCGTCTCATCCACCTCAACCACAGCTTTGTGCAGCACCTGCGCTTTGACATTAGGGATAACAGAGTTCAGGTGGAAACATAGAAAGATGTGGCTTAAACATGGAGAACGTCACACAAACCTCTGACAGTTTGAGGCCACTGTCCTTGCTGAGCCTTGTAAGATTTGCCGAGGTGTCAAACAGGCTGGTCATGCCCATTCCTGGCAGAATATTGTGTAGGGAATACTCCTGCTCCATCTTGATTTTAGGCATGCTGACTTCAAGTCTTCTGCAAACAGAACATGACAATAGGGTTGTTTAACTTATACATCTATAATTGAATGACAATTGACAATTTTGCTGCTGGTCAACTTTAAAAAGCCCCAGTTTGGATGGAAAAAGTAAAATTATGCGAAATTGGAAAATTTCTAACATGATGGACAGGAAAGACATGCAATTTTTTAATGGAAGTAGGACCGTACGTTTTGCGCAGCAGTTTGACCCAACTCAGGAACTTCTCAGCAGTGATTTCATCATCAATCACTGTGTAGTCAATGCCTTTGTTGGGTAGCACGATGAGCATGGAAACCCCTTGCTGGTATGGCAGTTTGAGCACTTTAACTCCAAGAAGAATGTCCTCCATAGTGTAGAACTTATCCTCCTTTAACATCATGGGCACTTGCATTATATTGTAATTGTCAATGTAAAAGGCTCTATCTCTGGTCAAATCGGCATCAAAAGGGATCTGCCAGGCTCCTGTTTGGGGGACAACATGGTTAGACTGGATGCAAATAGTCTAAGGGGCAAAGTTGATCACGCAAACACGTCAATGAGCTTAATTCAGCTTACCTCTGAAGAAAATACTGTTGATCAGCAGGAGCTGAGTCGATTCATCAAGAGTAGAAATCATGTCTACAATTTTATCCTCAGTCTTCTGTCTGATGTAGTCATTTATGTAAATGACACTTTCCACCGTGTCTGCAAAGTCTACAGTTTTAACGTCTGCATGGAAAAATGTCCTCATTTTGTCCTCAAACTCTTTATCGACCTCGAACTGCTGACGGATAAAAAGGGCCATGCTTTGCTCCACTTTCAGAGAGCCGTTCTGCGCAATGGTCTCCTGAAGAAGTTGAAAAAGTCTCGGGATGAGTTCTGGCTGGTCGGCCACTTGCAGCTGGTCCAGGTTCAATCCCTTCAGGATCTCCTGGTGCGTTTCACCACCAGAAGCCATCAGCAGAGCTGCGAAACTGGTGGAGATACTGAGAGGCGAGAAAAAAACGTTCTTGTCGTGATAACTGGATATTTTTCTGTAAAGGTTCATGGCAAAATCTATGTTCTTGTAGGAGAGATCAGAGATGGTGACGTTTTGAAGCGCTGCTTGATGGACAGGAGCCATGAAGCACAAGTAGGTCACAACAAAAATAAAAGCCATTTCCAGTTTGTGGGTTCCCATGTTTGATCCTGAGAGGTGTGAACTCAGAACCTGAAATATAAACATTTTATGTTTAACATTTTCTAAAGCATAAAAATTAAATTGTCACACAAAAAAAAGAAGGAATTAAGGACTTAAATATTCTCCCAAGCCTCACGTACCTTTCAGCTTGAGCCAGATGAGTTCTGCAAACTGCATCTGTTGTTTGGGGAAACAAAGTACAAGTATGCTCTGCTGGTTGCACATTAACCACACACAACAATATTAGGGGGGAGGTTTCCGTGCTTCTGCTCAGTTGATTTCCATTGATAGCTGATTAACAGGCTTTTGCTGAACTGATATCATCAAAATCATTTTTGCGCGGTTGGAACAAAATGGAAAGTCAGGTAGAGGAGGATGAGGAACGCAGTTTCAAATGGGAAAGAGATAGGGGAGGTAAAACGGGGGAAAGGAGGTTTGAGAATCGAGGAAAGAAACAGGAATTAGAATAAAACAGTACAGATGAAGGATGAGTTGTGCGAAGGAAGGTTGTCAGAGAAGAGATAAAAATAATATTTAGATTAAGTGCTATGCAGAAGCAGTGGAGAGTTCAAGCACAAAGAACAGGAGAGAAAAAGAACATCTGGTTATCAGTTCAAGTGTTTATTATACAAGATAATTTAAGATGTTTAATAGTAAATGGACAGTAGAGTTAATGAGTATGTGGATAGTTTAGGAAATGTAATATGTAATGATATATGAAATGTAATGATAGATAAAAGGGACAGGAGGGACATTTGATTATTATATTTAAGATATAAAGTAGAGCATTTGAATATATTGGCTATAATACTGTCATTTTGTTCCAAAATCCGTACTGGTAGGTGGTAATGCACATTTAAATTGTTTGTCAACCACCAATAAATCTCACAAAGAAGAAGAAACAGCTGTGCTGAAGCAGGGAAACATCTAACAGCTGCAGGACAGAAGCCCTTGAAGGACTTTAGGCATGTCTGCTCTATGCATTTGCTCTAATTTAAACATGATATTACTACTCATTATGGCAGGTTTAGGTATTTTGGGTGTATCAAAGATGATTTGACATAGATGCAATTTTAGATGAGAATTATCCAGTTTATGTTTTCCAGAGTTTCTCAACACATTAAAAAAATGAAGACTTTTTGTCAAATAATTAATTCCTTTGTCACAAAATAGCTCAGTTGAACATATTATTATGTTATCTGTAACTGCCTTTAAGACCCGAAATGAAAACGCAGCAAACAGAGTGAGTTAATATCACTTTAATCCTGCAACACTGACCATTATATTAAATGAAAGACCTTATCGCAACATGAAACAAACGCAAAAAAGTTACAGTAAGAAAGAAGTGAACGAAAACAAATGCAATGATTAAAAAAAACAAAAAAACATTTCATACTTTCACACAAGTGCATTTAAAAAGAAAAAAAAATCAGCCAATCATGACAAGCAAGAGTAAAAACATTCAATCTAGCAGGAAGTCTTGAAGCACAGCATGTACTTTACTTTGCATGACTCCCAGCACCTTTCAGGATAAATCCCCTCCAAATCTATTGTTGGTTCCAGAAAACATAACTCCTCAGACACCGATTTGCTGTGATGTGGTCTGTCCAGGAAAGCAGAACCTGATAACCACCCTTAAGTGAAGCTGTAACTGGTTATAGTTTTGGACAATAAATTACAGCACTTTTTTCCCGATCTATCACACTTTTGTTATGTTCTGTTTGTCTATTTTGTTTTTTCAGTTCAACAAACTATGAATCTCAATAAGCATTTTTCTATCATTTATAAAAAGTCAGCTGATACATGTCAAGCAGGGATCTGTGTCCATGTAAGGCAGTTGAAACCAGATGATTACAAACAGTAAATATCGCCTTTGTCTGACATTTAACCTTTCTTTTCCTGTTTTAGCTCACTTAGTTATACCAACATTTATTCTATTTAATAAATTGCGCAAAAAACTATAACTTTTTAAAAATGTCCACAAAGATTAGAATGGCCAGATGATTTAATGTTTTTAAGAATCTGGTAGGTTCATTCACAACAGCGAAGTTAACAGAAAGCAGGAACCTGTGGACGTGTATCGGGACACCTCAAGCACTCCTCGTGTGACTTCATGGAACAAACATATGGCATAAATTGGCCAAGGTATTATGGAAAGTATTCTCAGGTTGGTCTCGTTTCCAGGTGACGCGTTGATCTGGTCAATATACAAATATAGGCAACATCAGAATGGCTAACCATCATACTTATCTAGTAAAAGTAGGGCACTATGTCCAAGAGTCCCAAAATAGTCCTGGAAAACATGGGCTGAAAAGCCGTTCTGCATGGAAGAAGTAATTACTCCAAAAACAACAGAAAAGGGCAGATTGTTCTGTGGTAAGATGAAATAAAAAATGTTTTCTTTGGTCATAATGACCCTTTTTTGACATTTGGAGGAAAAAAAAAAAAAGCTTGTAAACCTGAGAATATAACCCCAACAATGAAGCACGGGGGTGGCAGCATCATGTTTTGGGGATGTTTTTGCTGTAAGAAGGACGGGTACGCTTCTGAAAAATGGATGGAATCATGAGAAAGAAATGTTTGGGGATGAATCGAAACAATCAGATTTTCAGCAGAGAATTTAAAGCTGAGGCACAAATGGGTATTTCATGTTGAAAATCACCCTGAATATACCACTTAACTAGTTATAAAGTATCTGAAAGAAAAAAAGGCCATGTTATGGAGCAGCCATCGCAATTCCCTCATCTCAGTCCCATCAAAAATGTATGGACAGACATACAAGGATGTGTGAGCAGGTGGCCTGTACACCAGCCTCAGTTACACCAGTTCTGTCGGGGTGAAACCTCTATCTAACTATTGGGAGAAGATTCTAGAAAGCGAACCTAAATTGTTTGAGCCAAGTCAAACAGTTTAAAGGGCATTTACATCAATAGGAACCATCCTTATAGCACTGAGCAACACTAATTCCAGCTGAACTAAACATACAAGGTTCTGTCTGATTTAATGTCAAACAATAAGGATAAAATCAGTTTTATGTTCGATGTATGTAAACATCTGGTTTCCACTTTATATGACATAGCCACATTAATTAAATTAACAGGTAGTTTGAGGGCTCCCAGAGTAAAAAGATTGGATGTTTCTATCACCCATAGTTGAATGATAATATACCGACTTTCCTTCTTGTTTTTTTTAAATGCTTTTTTGATATTCCACTAATGTCGAAAAAATACCACTACTCCCCCTTTGTCTACAGTGGACCCTTGTACTGTTTTCATTTAATGTCTATTTGTACATTTTAAGAAAGGAATAAAGTAAAAAGATCAAAGATACCATATTCTGGAAGCCGTGGAGGGAAATGATCACTGAGATCAGGAATAAACGACCCACAGACATGAGTGTTTATGACCAAAAGACACTGGTGCGGTGAGAATTTGTTGGATTATTTCCAGCTGTAAAGGTGTTGTGATGGATAAAGACTCAGAATAATTTTTCTTACATTTTTGTTCCACAAAACCAAACTTCGCAGCAGGAGACTACGTTACCTATAAAGCTTTTATCTGTGTCCAAAACGTTGGTCTCACATGGCTTTCATAGAATGCCTAGCTCATCTTTTTTACCTCCTACACATACCCAATGCATGTTTTTTTTTTTTGTCTTTCCAGGTCTTTCTAAAAAAACAAAAGAACTGGAATAAAAAACAAACAACCAACCAAACTGTATAGAATAGAAAAGAAGGCGCCATGGTAAAAAAGGCAATTTGCAATCTTGAATTTACTGCATCATGAGTCCTCTTGAGCAAAGGTGACCCCTCTCCCCCACTCTCTGAGCGCTTCACATAGTGCTGCCTCTTCATCGGCGTTCTTCTCTTCTCTATGGTCGGTCAGTGAACTAACACAGGAAACCATGTCCTTACGTCCTTGTGTTTGCATATGCAAAAGGTTAGAGGAGGGAGCAAAGATACCCCAGTCAGGGGTTTCCAATCCAAGCCACTGGTAAACAACACAAACTTTCCACAACTTCACTGGCTGGACTTTTGCTGTTGTTCTTCCTCAGAGGCGGTGTTTGCTGTTCCTGTGTAAAGTTGTGGGTGCAGGTTAATATTTAAGGATACTGTGAAATATTGCAATAAACTATAAAACACACTTATATTCTTTATACTAGGACAAAAAATGTGAGTTTATAAATTGAATGCATTTAAAGTAGCACCGAGTAACTTTTAGCCACTAGGAGCACTAGACCTGTAACTTCCCATTAAACAAATGGCTAAATGAGGCAAAACTGCATGTTTCATTAAGGTACTTGTAAATTCAAGGCCATATTCACCCCTGAAGACTAAGTCCAACATCAGAAAATCAAAAATATGTCTGATCAGTAAGTATAAACTTTTTTGTTACAGAACAACAACCTTTATTATCTCCTTAATTAATTATTTCCCATGTCTAATGGAAGGAGAGACAGTCGTAAAGCAGCGCTCTAGCTCATGACTCATTCAGTTGCATAGGCAAGGTTTAAAGCAGCGCAGTCCGCTTTTGTGCAGAACGTTGACTTTTATAGAGCTATATCAATAAAGCTGGATTGGAAATGTTTGATAAGATCAAGAAGGGGCTGGGCCAAACATAATGCTAATAATGAATAATAATAATAATAATAATAATAATAATAATAATAATAATAATAATAATAATAATAATAATAATAATAATAATAATATCAAAACAACTAAATCAGCATTGTGATTAATAAAAAAAAAAAAAAAAACACTTTTCCTTTCCAATAAACTATCTTTTCTTCATGCAGACATGTTCAAACCGGCCCAATGAAATACTCGCATCAAGCATAGAAAAGCACATTTTAGAAGTGTTCTCTGAACAGAGCCTTTTTCTGCTACTTTCAAGTCTATTTTGTCTTTTTTCACTCTTAATTGTTTTAAATTTCAATCATCTGATGATCAGCCTGTTTGAATTCTGTTTAGAATAAGTTAGACAATTCATCTTTATTATTTAAAGTTGGGTTGCTCACCTGACCCATCGGTTGGTTGTGTGTCTAGCTGTTGGGGAATGCTTGGCTGAGCTTGTTGTTGCTGTCTAAAACAGGGATCAGAGAGGATTTAGTCCAAAAAGTGTCTTCTATTCTCTAAGGAGGTGATAAAGAGTCTGTACCTATCAAAGTAGGCCTGTCTCCTCTTCCTCAGCTCCTCGGCTGTAAGTGCATCGCTCTGGCCTTCTTTGGGTCCTTCATTGGTGCGAACCGATTTCACACCTGCCACCTCACCTTCTGAGGACCTGTTGCTCATCACTGCTCCTGCAAAATCAGAAACATTTTACCATTGCCCAAGACTTTTCAGGGTTCTACCAAATGCACATTAGCCATAATTCAGCTAATTTCTTCTTTTTTAATCACATTCACAGTACTGTGTTGAAGAATTCTAAAGATCTTTGGTCAGTTCTTTGGGATAGAGCAACTTAAAAACTGCACAGGTGTAAGAACTGAAGGCAAAGGCTAACTCAGCATTCCTATTAACATGTAAATTCTAGACTTCCCCAGAGTCAAATGTGCAAGTTATAACTCTCTTCTATATCCAGTCACCTTTAAATTATGACAGACATTTTTACAGCATTCAAGCTTCCAATAAGGAACAAATAAAGGAAAGGAGACACAAAGAAGGAAGAAAGAAAGGATGCAAATAAGAAAGAATGGATACAAAGAAGGAAGGAAATATAAAGAATTGAACGAAATTTAATAAAATTTAACACCAGAAAGGAAGGACAGGAGAAAATGAGGACACAGGAAGTCAAGAGAGGAATGAAGGTCACACACAAGGGAAGAATGAAAGAAGAATTCATAGCAAAGAGGAAAGGAAAAAATAGGACATAACATTAGCCAGATTAGATTAAGACCGGAAAATATAAGGAAGTAAAGAAAGGAAGAACACAAGGAAGGAAGTTGTTAGGACACCAGAAGACCAGACAACAAGGAAAGTAAGCAAGGAGAACGTAAAGAGGACAAATAGGGAAAACAAACGAGCTAAGTGATCAAACCAAATATTGATTCTATTTGGATTTATTTTCTGTTTATCAACTGCACATTTCTTCGGTAAATAAAGCAAGATCTAATAATGCTTCCATTTTATTACACCTGCTTTAAACTTTAGACAGTGCTGTCCATTACAGGACAAAATGTGTCTGAAATACATTAAATGCCTCCGATAAACCAGTTACCTTGCATGCTGAGCTGTATGGCTCTCCGAACATCAGCCTCTTCATCTTCCACATCCATGTCTTGTCTGCTGAGAGCCAGAGCTTTCTTTAATTCTTCATCCTCATCCTCAACAGCAAAACCCACATCTGTCTGTGCCTGAGAGGCTGTCGTCCTGCTGGAAGCGACCAGCGCAGTTAGCAGTGAGTCCACTCAGAATATAAATATTCCACCAACTGCACACACCTACCCCATACTGGTCTGGGCTTCGTCTTCTCCAATGAGTCTGGGCCGCTGCTGCTGATGGACCCTCATGATCCCAAGAATCTGCTCTGCCTCACACTCTGGGAGATTTCCTCGGATTACAAAGATGGAATAACCTGCACAAATACACGTTTTTACAAATCGCATCTGAAGTTCAACATTTAAACGCACAGAGAGGAAACACTGTTTATTCTAACGATACCTTCCTGTTGCAGCTGTGCAAGGAAAAGTGCTAAATACGTGTCTGATATCAACTCAGGTCCAGTCAGCAATGAATTCAGGTTGAACCACTGCAATGAGAACAGTGTTTCTGGTGAAGCCGGCTGCGTCAACCGAGTTCATGAGAAACTCAAAGGTAGCTTCATACCTGCTGTCCCAGTTTGCGTATAGTAAACCAGTGTTCCTTATAGTTGCAAATGAAGGCTTTCTCATTTCTGAAACATAAAGGAAGGCGTCAGCTTATACTGAAATACATATCTTCAGTTTAGCCTGTATGATGAAACCTTACATCGGGTTTATCATCAGCCTCTGGTACTCTCGACTGTTAAAGAGGATGAGCTCCAACCCCCACACCCGGAGAGCATTGCTAATAACCTGCAGCAACCGATGGACAAATTAGAGCTAGATAACTTTCAATAGGTCTACACTTTAGACTAACCTCTAAGGACAGGATGTGTACACATACTTGTATTGAAAAGAATCCACTGTCATCCATGTTCCCTGAGGGTTGCTTTAAAGACAAAACTACAATATTAACATGTATAATAAGACATTAAACTAAAGTTCGATCTGTAATTACCTGTAAGAATGTCCTATACTCCTCACTGGCCATGCCCCCCTCTGCCATCCTCATCCTCTCCTCTTCATCCAGCTGATGAGCAATGGAGGACAGATCCACAGGGGTGAAGTACTCCCCCTGGAGGAGGTTGTTCAGGCAGTGCTGGGCACACAGGGAGCCTTCTTGCTGCAAAACACAGAATTGGTGGTGGAAAATCAAAGTGTTAGAGTTTAAATCCTTCCGTCACATGAATACTTTTTTTTAAGGCATAGGGAGACAAACAGGCACTTGTAGGGTTTATGTTATTGCAGTAAATATATGGGAGCAAAAATCATGATTTTATTCAAATAACAACTGATTTGAACTGATTGTGTATGCAAACCCAAATTTAGTCTCTGCATGCAATGATACATCTTATAAAAAAACAAATTGGAACATATACACACTCACATATATATATAATTTATCATTACTGTAAAGGAAAGCTCTGTATTTACATCTTTAAGCCTTCTCTTTCTGATTCTTTCCTCACTCTGGACAAACTCTTTAAATAACACTTCATAATGTTTGTGCCTCAAAAAAACCATGGGACATGACAACAGATTTGAACAGAAACTGTAATCTTACTCAGACCGGAGAATTTGTTTAGGGTTACAGATGGGAGCGCTTACCAACCAGGCTCGCTTCTCCATGAAGTTGGCCCCGAATTACAGTCAAATTTTTAATTAAAAAGAAACTTATTAATACACCCAGTCTACCACATCATCAGATCATAACATCATAGACGTTTGTAAATGTATGGATCCCTGGCTCCAGCCATACCAGCACCATCCACTCCGTCTGTATCATTTAATTTCCAAATCTCTGTTATGTACATAATGAAAATGATAACTGTATATCCTGAGGAAATAACTGTTCTAATTAGATAAACTACTTGAGGAAAATGTTTAGTTAGGACAACGCTAAACACAGAGGGAAACAACTTGATGTAAAAGGATCAATTTACACCTTTAAAATTAGGATTTATGATTTAAGACCACATAAAGCTCGACCATGTACCCTAAACTGTAGTTTGATCTTATTAAACAGCCTCCAGAGATCAAGCAGTTAAAAAAAAAAAACATAACTAGGGGCTGTAGACCACAGCGACAACACCTCGCTTTATTCACTTTATTCATGCAACTTTTATTACTTGTAAAATAACAATGTATAAGCTCGGATCCTGACTTTAAAGCTGCTAAAAACAAATCTGTAAACAAACTTTTCAACCTCTCTAGTTAGCAGGTTAGCTAGCAGTTAGCATTTTGAACAAACAACAAAACAGCTGAAGCGGCAGCTTCCGGCCGCTAAACGGACATTAGCGCTCTAAGGATAGGTCACAGTGAGCATTTATTGATCAAATGCTCAGATTAAAAGTTCTACCTACTTTCTCATGAAATATGGAATCCATATTCAGCTTTCTGTCAAACATTCAACTCTGACCCTTCACCTCTTCCGCATTCATCAGCTCACAGACAAGAGACTATATTTACTGGCGCCCCCTAGCGGTTGGCTCTACCAGCACAGGGAGACATTTTTTTTTTGCCTGAAAAAACAAAACAAACCACCCCCACCCCACCCCACCCCCACCCCCCCATACAGAAAAACCCTAAAGTTAAACATAAAAAAAAAATTTGAATTAAAAGGAGGTCAAAAAAACAACAACAACAAAAAAGAAAAATTTATAATAAAAAGAAAATTGTGGGGGGATGATAAGTCCTTTGCAGGATCAATTGTGTTTTAAAGTTCCTATTTAGAATAAATAATTTTCAAAATCATTTAATATCAGTTTAAAGAAAGCTTAGCCTGTTTTCAAGTGGTTAAATTCTTATGCATACGGGGGAAATTTTGCACCGGAAGTTTGCAACAAATATTGTAAAAGTTGTCTCAAGGTTATACTCCTATAAATGTGCAAATGAGTTAGGTGATTTAAAATGTGCACATGCATAAAATGCCGTACACTTTTAAAAAAAGAAAATAAAGCAACTGGAATACATAGCAGGAATTTATACACCTTATTGAGTTTGAGGGGAGATGGTTATAAAGTTTTGCACCTGCTCTGTGCAGGGGTCTGCATCACTGCTCATTAGTTTACCTCTTGGTGCAGCAGGAGCTCTCAGTTTCTACAACCGCTTTATGCATGGGTGGGGGATATAATCAATCAATGATGCTTTGTTTTATAATTCACATGTATCTACTTCCACTTTGAAAAGAAATCAACCGATATACTTGGGCAAATATTTCAAATTATGATTCACTGACTTCCATTTTATACATTAAAAGTGAACTTAATTGAGGATTACTGTTCCAAATGTTGTGCCGTTCATATTTAGATAATTAAATAGATGTTGGTTAATTAATTAAACATATTATATTATAATATTATAATTATATAATAATATTTTTTCGATAAGGTAGAAAAATACAGAAGAGGATTAGAGCCACTGAAACAATTTAAAAAAATTAACTGATTTTTTAATTCTATTTCAGTATAATATCAGAAAAAAAAAGTCAGAATTCTGACTTTAATCTCAGAATTTTGGATTGTAATGTAAATGGGCATTACAGTTTTTTTGGATTGCTTACACACTAAAGTTAAAAGTAGTACACTATTAGCAAAACCTTACACCCAAGAAGCAAAACATCAGCCCTTATTGCACAACTATAAGCACATTGTCAACCTCACACTTGTTGCAAAACTCTACACACAGTGTATGCAAAACACTAAACACACTTAACATACATTACACACAAAAATCTATTATGAAGTCACTTCCTTGCACCGCCATGCCCATATGAGCCCCCACAACACAGCAC